AAAATATTTTTGGTTATTTTAAAAAATAAATTGAACTATATAAAAATATATAAAAATTATTATTTTTATAAAACAATATTATAATTTAGTACTTGATGCAAACTTGTAATTTAATAAAATCTCGATACATGCACAATAATCATAAATAAAATGCCCAATAATGTATGCGCCAACAAACATTAATATACAATCTGTTTAACAGTATTGTGCGAACTTTCAGTCGCTATTGCAATATAACCCAAGTGATCTTTTGTTTCAAACCAATTTAATACCGAACGGGATTAACTAGTTTATTTGTTCGGTTAATCGAATTTATCAAAATAAATGAAATTAAAAGATTATTTATTATTTTAATATTTTTTCATCTAACATCTTATATTTTTTTGTTTTAAAAAAATATTATTTGATAGAATAAAATACCCAAAAAAATATAAATTTTAATATTATTTGGTCAGTTAAGTTATTTCAGTTTTTTTATAAAATTAAATATGAAATTAAAGTGAAATATCTAATTATTTAAAGGTAAAAATAGATAATCGAGGTGACATATAAATTTTGAACCAAAAAACTTAGTTCGCTTGGTTTCAGTCGCTATTGTGCAATCTAACAATTATTAATGTGCAATTCATCTGACGCTAAGGTGCACTCAAAGTGCATATATTTTTTTTCTAATAATTTATCTCAAACTAAACTAAAACTAAAATATATTTAGTTTTTTAATATTTTTATTGAAAATCTTATATTTTTTTATTTTGTTGTATAACAAAATACTATTTTTTTAAGTTGGTTGGTTGGATTATTTTAAACAATAAAGCTGACAATGGCCTGAGATACCGAATTTTTTAAAATTACAAACAGGTAATCAAACCGATATATTAAAAAAAATTATGTGCAGCGCGCTATTTTATAAGGTGCAACATGTTTTGTTATAAAGTGCAATGTATCGTTGTATAAAGTACAACGTATTCATATATAAAGTGTGATACTGTATTTTTTGTACCTTAACATACTTATGTTTTATTTATTATTACTATTTTTTTTTTGTATAGATGATGTGATAGATATTAAAGTATTATGTAGGTCCGTTGTTTAGATTTATATAGCGTTATATTTTTACGATAGCTGTTAACATTAATTGTGAGTGTGTTGATAAAGTGCAACGTATTGTCTTATAAAGTGCAACGTGTTGATATATGAAGTGCATTGTTTTATATGATCGCATACAAATTATGTGTTTCGGTAAACTAGTTTTAATAGGTATGATTGTACATTGAATTTACCTAATAATTTAATTAGTTTATTATTTATTATTATAAAAGTGTATTTATGATTTTAATATTTTTTATATATTAAATTTGGAGATATTAAAAATTTTAAATATTATACACTTTATTTATCATTAATATGCATTTATGAGAATATTGCTAAGATTAAATATTTGGTCATGAATTAAATTAGAAAATACACAAAATTAATAAAATTACAAGATTGTTCCTTAACAAAATGAAATATGCATAATGCTTAAATTACATTAATTTATTCTTATGGCAAATTATATCTAAAATAAATATACAATCAAACTTGTCTGTTTTCTTATCTTTAATAACGTCTATTTCATTTTTGTAAATATTCTATGAACTATCAATGTATTTATATATATGTAGGGTTGGCCTTAAAACAGTATGGGCTCGGTTCGTAAAGAGGAATCGTAGCCTTACAAATAGTTGTGGTACTATTGAGCTAAATTGAAGAATAATTAAACTTTGTTCAAATTGCAAGAAGGTCCTTGAAAAATACAAAATTTTCAAATTAAAACCTAAACACATGCAAACATAAACTAAAAATTATCTAATTTTCATAAGAAAACCCCACACCCAATTGAATGATTTCCTGGCCAAAACCAAAATTTCCATTTCATCTCGTTTTTCGGCCAAATCCAAAATCTCAATTTTAACAGTCGATTGATTACTTCCCGACCAAGACCCCGCCGGCAGATCCCATGTCCATCAATCCATCCGCCACCTCCGCCAAACATATCCGTCACCCCCCGGCCAGCCCAAAGCTAGTCGCTGTTCGGCTCACTCCTTGCGGATCGGCGGCGGCTCCGACCAGTCGCCCTGAGTTGAATGGTGACGTGACGGCTCGCCGATTTTGTGTCCCGTAGACCAACAAACAAAGGGATACGTACTTGCTGCGCCGGCTTGGGACTGCCTGAGAGGCAGAGAGCCGTTGCTTGCTCGCCGGCGGACGACGGTGAGGCTATATCTCTGGAGCATGTCACTGTAACCAACGCCGCTGTTGTAGTATCCGCCGTCATTGAAGGGAAATGCCGGTCAGTGAGCGGCCAGGGGGTCTTTTTTGTTGCAGTCTCGTAACGCGTCCGGCGATGGCGTCGAACATGGTTGACGGACGACGTGCTTTAAACTTGTGCCGCGTCCGGCGGCGGCGACAGACGTGGAGAGACGGCCGCGGGAGGATGGTCGGGGATGAGGCGGTGAGAGTGTGCAGTGAGTGTGTGTATATGTTGTGTGTGCGTGCGAGAAAGAAATAGTGG